AGAACTGAAGAAAAAATTGAAGCCTCGAGTTGCAATATTGAGAGATTCTATGGGCAAAATATTGAATGATGCAGGAAACATCAAGAGAAGATGGCAGGAATACACAGAGTCACTGTACCAAAAAGAATTGATCAATCTTCATCCATTTCAGAAAGTGGCATATGATCTAGAACCAGTGGTAATGAAGGAAGAAGTCAAAGCTGCAATGAAAGAACTGGCGAAGAACAAGGCTCCAGGAATTGATGGCATACCGATTGAGATATTTCAACAAACAGGTGCCCCATTGGAGGCACTCACTCAGTTATGCCAAGAGATTTGGAAGACAGCTACCTGGCCAACTGACTGGAAGAGATCCATATTTGTGCCCATTCCAAAGAAAGGTGATCCCACAGAATGTGGAAATTATAGAACATATCATTAATATCGCACGCAAGTAAGATCTTACTGAAGATAATTCAGAAACGTTTGCAGCAGTCTATTGACAGAGAACTTCCAGAGGTTCAAGCCGGATTCAGAAGAGGACATGGAACAAGGGATATCATAGCTGTTGTCAGATGGATCTTGGCTCAAGGCAAAGAATACCAGAAAGATGTTGACTTGTGTTTTATTGACTATGCCAAGGCATTTGATTGTGTGGATCATGACAAATTATGGATAACACTGAAAAGAATGGGAATTCCTGAGCACTTGATTATACTCATGAGGAATCTGTACCTTGACCAGGAGGCTGTCGTTTGAACAGAACAAGGGGACACTACATGGTTTAAAATCAAGAAGGGAGGGCGTCAGGGTTGTATCCTTTCTCCACACTTGTTCAATCTATATGCTGAGCAAATAACCCAAGAAGCTGGACTATATGAAGAAAAACGTGGTATCAGGATTGGAGGAAGAATCATTAACAACCTGAGATATGCAGATGATACAACTTTGCTTGCTGAAAGTGAGGATGACTTAAGGCACCTACTGATGAAGGTTGAAGAATACAGTCTGCAGTATGGATTACATCTCAATATAAAGAAAACAAAAATCCTCACAACTGGACCAATGAGCAGCATCACAATAAATGGAGAAAAGATTGAGGTTGTCAAAGAATTCACGTTGCTTGGTTCTACAATCGATGCCAATGGAAGCAGCAGTCAGGACATTAGACGATGTGTAGCATTGGGAAAGTCAACTGTGAAGGAACTGTATCACGTGCTGAGGAGCAAGGATATCTCAAGGACTAAGGTGCGCCTGACACAAGCCATGATATTTCCAATTGCCTCGTATGCATGTGAGAGCTGGACAATGTATAAGGAAGACCGAAGAAGAGTTGTTGCTTTTGAGTTGTGCTGGTGAAGAATGCTGAAAGTACCATGGACTGCTAAAAGAACTAACAGATCTGTCCTGGAGGAAGTGCAGCCAGAATGCTCCTTGGAAGCAAGAATGGCCAGACTTCGTCTCACCTATTTTGGTCATGTTGTCAGAAGGGACCATTCCCTGGAGAAGGATGTCATGCTTGGTAGGGTGGAGGGTCGACGAACGAGGGGGAGGCCTTCAAGGAGATGGATTGACACGGTGGCTGCGATGATGGGCTCAAGTATAGCAGGGATTGTGGGGCTGGTGCGGGATCGGGCAGTGTTTCGTTGTGCTGTGCATGGGGTTGCTATGAGTCGGAAACAACTCGACAGCACTTAACAACAACAACAACATTATATTATTATCATATTTTCTGAACTATTTAGAAGGATATCCTTATTCATAACATTTTCTAAAAAATCACAACTATGTCACTGAAAAATATGCTCTTAAGCTCTGGTAGCATAGTGCCTAAGGCACCTGACTCCTAACCAGAAGGCTGGTGGTTCAAACCCACCAGCCACTCCTTGGAAGGAAGGCTGGGCAATCTACTTATCTACTTCCATAGTGATACTGCCTCGGCAACCCAATGATGGGTCACTATGAGTCGGGGCCGACTCAAGAGCACATAACAATAACAACAAATTTGAGCTTTTTTTTCCTAGAACTCTTCATCACATGTGCTCCTTGCTGCTCCTGCTGGCTTTAATAAAAAGGCAAGACAGACTCAAAGAGATGCTAAGACCAGTGGTCTAAGTCTGATTATGACCAGACCAAGTGAAAAGGATTTTGCAAGCCTGCTTTAGCAGCACAATACAATGGGAGCTGGCAGCTGGATTGAAAAAAAACAAAAGCAAAGCAAATCAAACTGAAATAAAACAAAAATTACCTGCTACATTTCCTAGGGCAAGAAATGGTTTTTTGAGTTCATTTTAAGGCACCCCTATTGACATACTGGAATCAGCATTATGATTTTAAGTATAAAGATTGTATTCTCACTGTAAAGCACTATACGATGGACCCTGAGCTGTTTTTCTCGTAGTGGTGAAGACTAGCGCTGATTCCATCATGTTGCTTAGTACCAGGTGTCTGGTACTAAGAGTTTGCTCCAGAAGAGAATAAAGCTAACTAGTTCACACAGGGATTGAACACATGACCCTGGTCTGATTAGCACAGGGCTAATCAACTACCAAAATAGCTACCACAATTAAGAGCTGCTTCCATTTATATACTACCTGCTATATGCCAGGCATTGTGCTAAATTAAACGCTCTATGTACATTATCTGTTAAACTTCACAAAAATCTTACATGGTAGATATTATCCCTATTTTACAGAAGTGGAAAGCGAGGATCAGATAGTCAATCTTACACACTATCTTACAGATAGAAAATGGAAGAATCTGGAACGCAAATTTAAGTCTGATTGGCTCAAAATCTCCTAGTCCTTAACAAAACTGTATTGTCAATTAAATCCAAATAAATGAAAGGCCACTGTATGATATAATGGAAGAGAAAGATGTATTAATCTGATCTGAAAACAATATTTAAAATTCCAAACATCTTCATTCACAAATAATTAAAACTGTTCTGACAATGCAATGAAAGATGGATATGCCTACTGTGGATATCTTCATTCACAAAGTAATTCAGATTCACTCATAATGGCTTAATAAGAAGCTGACAAATTTTAACAAAAAAGTGTATTTATGAAAAATGAAGAAAATAAAAACAAGTGTCAATGTCTTAAATTTAAATACCAGTTAAGAATTTTCAATCAAATTGTTCGTATTTAACTAAAAAGGAGAAGAAAATAATACTAGTTATTATTTCTTAGAATAAAACTCTATTTGTTGTTAGCTGCCATCAATTCCATCCTCAACTCATGACAACCCTATGCACAACAGAACAAACTGCTGCCCAGTCTTGCTCCATCCCCACAATCACCATCTCTATGACTGGATGCTGATTAATCACTGTGATCCATAGGGTTTTCATTGGCTGATTTTCAGAAGTAGATTGTCAGGTCTTTCTTCCTAGTCCAGCTCAGTCAGAAAGCTCTGCTAAAACCTGTTTGGCAAAATAGCAACACAAGCCTCCAATGACAGACAGGCAGAGGCTGCACATGGAGAGCACTGGCCAGGAAATGAGTCTGTATGGCAGGCAAGAATTCTACCACTGAACCACCAATGCCATTGAACTGTAAAACAACTTTTCCTTCAAAGAATTATTAATTAATAAAAGCAGCTGTTTGTTTATACTAGTATGAACACACAATAGCATTTAAATATGATTTTTTTTTAATGTTATGTTATTTTAAAGATTTTGTATTTCTAGAATTGCAAGCGACTTTTAAATGAGCAGAAGTTGTGCTGAAGAGAACTATACCAGGAAGTGATGAGTTAAAATAGTACTGAAAGCAAATTTCCACAGGCCACATTACCAAGATAATTTAAATTAACAGACATGTATTGAAAACTACCTACTAGGAACTAAGTTCTTGTCTCTTTGTCAAATGCTGGAAATGCAAAAACAACTCAAAGAACTCAAATCTAATATGGCAATAAAAACTTTTAAGAAATTAGAGTTCAAGGCAGAGTACTAAAACTATCAATGTAAAAGTGCCTAATAAAGTAGAATGAGTGCTGGTCTGACTAATCAAGAAAGCTGCTGTCAACCTGACACTGAGGATGACAAGGATTTCCATGGGTGATAAAGGATGACAGAGTGAGAGGTATGGGCAGATGTTCCAGGTTAAGGGAAGAACGTAAGCAAGACCAAGCAAGTGTGCGGACACTTATAAAACCGAGCAGCCTGGACTGACCATTGTATGGCATGTCTTATAGAGCTGGAGTAGGAAATGGAGGCTGAAAATATAATTTGCAGTCAAATCACTGACTATTGTCTTGGTAAGGAATTACATTTTATTTGGTGAAGATGGGAAACCAGAGCATGTTTGTGACAAGGTAGCTGCTTAGAGTAGCCTCCGAGCATGAACCCTCAGTTGGATAGCCTGGTTTGGTACCCTGGCTCTCCTGCTCATTTAATTGTGAACTTTGAACTAGTTGCTTAATATCTCTGTGTTTTAGTTTCCTCAGCTCTAAAGGGAAACAAAATAGTGCCAATTTTCTAAGGAGAGTCAGAAAGATTAAATGAGATGATATACATCAAGTACCTAAAATAGCAGCTAGCACAAACCCCCAAAAAATAAGTCATAAATACACATAATATCTTCTTCATCCCAGCACTGCAGAGCTAATGAAACAATAAAAGGGATTCCAAGAGAAGGAAGCCCCAGGAACTATGGATTATAGATAAGCTAAAATTAAAAAAGGGTAACTATAGGATTTTCAGAGATTTATAAAATAAAATTATAGGTTGGATAAACCCTGTCATCTTACTGTAGTTCTGAGTTCAGTAAATTCATTTTCAATTGTACCAGTTCATTAATGCCTCAGATTATCATTTCTCAAGGTGGTTCCAAAATCAATGTACATGGGATGAATTATTTCTTCACCTCCCCCAATGTCTAAAACATTATACTTGGATTATCTATGTAACTCTACACACCTAGTGATAGGAGTATGGATGAAAAACATACAAATTTAAGTGAAACCCTGGACATTTCTGTTAAAACTATATGTTAGCAGAATAACACAAAAACCTGTGATGTACGAGTCTTTGCAAGAGGAGAAGTGCATGCTTCCTGAAATTGATCTTCATTAATTCCAATCTCTTTGAGATAACTTTCTAACAGCTTTTCAACCTACAAAGAGAAAGTTTAACTTTTTTAATTAACATAGAAAATTTGTAAATGATAGTTTTCACATTACTTATCTAGTTTAAACTCAAAAATCCATTGCCATGGATTTGATTCCAATTCATAGTTGGCCTTATAGGACAGAGTAGAACTACTCCATAAGGTTTCCAAGGCTGTAAATCTTTACAGAAGCAAATTGCCCTATCTTTTTCCCATGGAGTAGCTGGTAGGTTCAAACCATTGACCTGATGCTTAGCAACCAATTTCTTTAACCACTGTGCCACCAGGGCTCCTTGTATCTAGTTAGGAAAAGTATAATCAAATGCTTGTTTGCAATTATTAATTTACATATAATATTACATGGCAATGACATTGTTTTTAACAGAAAAAGCAAAAAGTTAAAATATTTCACAGAAAATCACACAAAATAATTTCCCACAATTTTATTTCCTTTACTAGAAATAATGTAAGTGAGGATTATACAGTTCAATGTGGCATAACTCTTTTTTTTTTTTTTCAATTTTATTTTGATTTGGGTGAAGATTTACAGAGTAAATTCACTTTTCATACAGCAGTTCACATATACTTTGTCTCATGTCATTGACCAAAATTTACAATGCAACAGCTCCCCTCCCACTTCCTCCCCATAGTTTCTTCCCAGTGTCCATCCCTCCATACTCTTCTGCGCCCTGAGCTGTCTCCCTGTGTATAAGCAGCCCTTCTTTCTCCCATGATTGTTCTCTCCAGGGCGTGTGTCTACTTAAGGTAAATGTTTAACTCACATGCCTGCACCTTGTTTGGCTGGAAACCACAGGTGTGGGTTCAATTCCAGACCTGAAGGGCAGCTAGGGGCCATACTCTCAGTGGTTCCACCAGGCTCTATTGGACCAGCAAACCTGGTCCCCACCTTCTTTTTTTTTTTGCCTCCAAATGATTTTGAGTTTTGTTCCACATTGTTCTCCCTCTCTATGCAGGATCTCCTACATCCCTTCCAAGTGGATGACAGTGGTAGCCGGGCACCATCTAGTTCTTCTGGTCTCATAGTTGTATAGGTTGCAGATCAGATGGTGTACCAGTCACTAGGACTGATTGTTTCCATTAATTTTGGTTTTCTTCTTTCTTCTTGATGAGGAAAGACCCATTGTTGCATCTAGATGGCAGCTTGCTAGCTTTTAAGATGCCAGTTGCTACTCGCCAAAGTAGGAGGTGGAACAATGTTTTATATAGTATGTTATGCCAATTGAGCTTGATGTCCCCTGCGACTATGGTCCCAAGCCCGCAGGACAATGTGGCATAACTCTTAAGTTGCCCTGAGGCATCGTTAAAAATCACAAGACAACCAGGGATAAATGAATAAATACTTCCTTGGCATCAGCAAAATAATAACGACAAAATTTAAAGATTAGATGCAAGATCCCTTAAAATCGTTGTTAAAAAAATTCCTCGTTGAATTGGTATATGTATTGCTGTGTATATTCTCCACAACAATAAATAAATTAATTAAATATTAAAAAAAAAAAAAAAAAAAAAACCCAACTATTTCTTAGATTCTAGGATAGAAGAAATAAGAAGTCCTAAGAATGCAATGCTCAGAGAACCCTCAGAAGCTCATGTTAACTAGTAGTATTATTAGGATATATTTTAATTTTGTAAAATTAAAGAATTTTAATGGAAAGGTCCTTTTTTAATTTAAAAAAGCAAAAAGTAATATTATTCTAATCAATGAAAAAAATACTCACGAGTTCTTTGTATTCCTGATGAATCTCTGTATAGGTCAATTTACTTTCTTCTTCATCATCAAAAACTAAATTTAAATGAAAAATAGTACCAGTGTTAAAAAAAAAAATCATTTCACCAATGCAAACATCAGTCTACTCCATACAAACATAACTATTCATTATTATAGTCCAGTTCTTTAGCTTTGAATTCTTGTTTTTTTCGTTTTTCTTCAACGTGATGGCGGTGAGTTTTTCTTAATACTCTTAGATAAAAAGCACACCTGAAAATACAGGTAAAACCAAAAAAAAACCAAACAAACTCACTGCTGTGGAGTCGGACCCGACTCACAGCGACCCCTCCTTGGGTTTCCGAGGCGGTATCTCTATGGAAGTAGATTGTTCAGTTTTCCTTCTGAGGAGGGCTGATGGGTTTGAACCACCAGCCTTCTAGTTAGCAGTCAAATGCCTTAGGCACTATGCCACCAGAGCTCCTGAAAACACAGGTAAGTACATAAAAATATTTAGGCTGTCTCTACCACTTTCTAAGTCCAAAAGTTTTTAGAAAATAGGTTATGAAAACTGACATATGGACAGTTGTTCAGATATCTTTGTAAGAAAGGCAGAATTCTTAGACTTATGATGCGTGCATGTATATGAGGCAATCTTGGATATTCTTTCTCAGCATCAGATCATGAGTCTCAACAGGCACTACACAAAGCAGAGTCTAGTAATGACAGATTAAATACACTAACACTAAACATCATGAAAAACTTGAATATTCAGGTTTTAACACTGAGTTTTAACAGAGAAATACTCCCTCCCCTAGTATCTCATACTCCCCAGGATGTTTTTGAGATTTTTACACTACAAATAACACTAATACTAGTCTAAATATTTTTAAATGCACTGAAGTAGATTGCCCAACCTTCCTTCTGAGGAGTGGCTGGTGGGTTTGAACGTCCAACCTTCTGGTTAGCAGTCATGTGCCTTAGGCACTATGCTACCAGAGCTCCTAACAAAGGCCCATAGGACCAAAAAAAGAAAAGATTCTTTTAGAACAAAGAATTCTTATGCATATGAGCACTTGAACCAAAAACTAAGCTTATCCAAAAAGTCTTCTCTTTTAACAGTTCTTAAAAGTCTGAAGGAAAGAACAAATCTGAATATATTTACTTGATAATAGACAAAGCAAGTGAACTACCATAGAAAATAACTTCTCACTTCACTGCTAGCTGAAGAGGACCGATAAAAGTGGGGGAAAAAAACTCTCACAGACTTTATCGGAAAATAACTCTCAGAACATGTGAATAAAATTGCCATGACAGTTTTTTATAAGAGATTTTTAAAATGCTGCCTAAATACAGTGTGTTTGATAATATTGTTGTTGTTGTTGTTGTTGTTGTGTGCCATCGAGTCAGCCCTGACTCATAGCAACCCCTCCTTGGGTTTCCGAGGCAGTATCACTAACTACGTCAGTAGGATTGCCCAACCTTCCTTCCGAGGAGTGGCTGGTGGGTTAAGTACACATAATTAAACACATTGAACACTGATTTTCTTTTTAAATTCTCATTCCCACAGACTTATACAAGCAGATTATTATATTTTAGAAATGCTCAAGTACCTCTCAAGTAACACTTTATAGATTATAAATTGCTGTTCATAATAGTATTTAGTTGATGCAAATGTTACTAGAAGTGACTAGGTCACTTTTGTTACACATAATTAATAATTTTAACAATATTAATAATGAAGTTAAACAAAACAAAAACAAATGTCTACCAAATGATCACATGAATGAGATACCACATAAACTTAAAAAGGTGTATTTTCCCTCAAGAAGCAACAACCTAATTAGACAAAGAGGACAAACGCATAAGATGTAAACAATAAACTTTTTTAGTTCCCCCCAGAATGATCTTTCTAAAATACAAAACAAACGTCTGTAATTTTTCGCTTAATGTTCTTCAATGAGTGCTCATTGCCTACAGAATAAGTGCAAGATCCTTAAAAGGCCAACAAGACCCTCCAAGATTAGGGTCTCATCTCATCCCTGTCTCATCTCCACCACTCCACAATCCAAACTTTGCACTCTTAACAACATCCAACTACTTGTAATGCCTTCAAACAATGCACACACTGCTTCAAACCTTCAAGCCTTTGCTTAAGAGTCCCTTCTATCGTTTGCCTTTCCCCCACTTCTCTCCCAACCACTCTTCAAACCACATGGAAGGTGGCACCTTCTCCATGACCTGCTATCTACTTCCTTACCCCTAGGCATTTAGAAGGAAGGTTGGGCAATCCTACTTCGTAGTGATAACTGCCTCGGAAACCCAAGGAGGGGTCGCTATGAGTCGGCTGACTGGACGGCAAATAACAACAACAACAACAGGCATTTAGAGCTCTCCCTCTAATTCATAACACACAACACCATGTGTCTAACTTTAGTATAGCACCTACTGTTTTATATTTCAATTCTGTTAAGCAGCCTATCTTCTCCACTAGACTTCTCAAATACAAAGACTGTTTTATTCATCTTTATTCTACCCTCAGCTTCTGGCCCAAGGGCTCATACATAGTAGACACCCAATGTTTGTTGAACTTTTACAAAAGAGTTGTACAAAAACAATCTTTAAATTATCTGAGGTAGAGATTAGCCAACCCAAAGGTAGTGAAGTATAAAAACTTACTCCAAGTGTCACTGCCATGTTACTTCCATTTCTCTTGACATCTCTATGTAAGGAGGCATAACAGCTGCAATAAAACCCTACTAAAATTGTTTTCAGTCACATTACATGCTTATAAGGCTGAGGATTACTATGTGTTATTGAGATGCAGCCACTTCAGATATTTGAAGATTAAAAAAAACTTTTTTTTTCCCCCCATTTTACCACTTAGCCTCGGGGGAGTAAATGGAATCAAAAGATGACTTAATTTCTTCTTCTCCTTAAAGGAGGTCAGATTTCCTCATGCTTCAGCAGTCTCATAAAGCATTTTAAATTTTTTAAAGGAATAAAAATAATTATTTTTGAACTTCTTAAAAAACTACTTGTAAAACTGATACTTCATAACTACTAATGGAATTCTGACTGTGGCACTGAGAGAATGTAATTAAAGGATTCTGTGTCAATCTAAATTTCATCTTTACCAGATTCATGGAATTGGTGGGTTGAAAAGGACTCTTAAAGGTCATCCAGAATAATCAACCATGTGAGAGCTGAATCTCCTGTATATCATCTCCACTGACTGGCTTGGCTAACAGATTTACTCTTTATTTATTTACATTTTTTTGCAACTTTTCATTGTGATTTGGGTGAAAGTTTACAGAGCAAGTTAGTTTTCCACTCAACCGTTCACACACAATTTGTTTCATGATATACACCTGCAATCCCACAATGTAACAGCATCCTTCCCACTTTCTCCCTGTGATTCGCGTTTCCATTTGAGTCCTTCTTTCCTATTCCTTCTTGCCTTTCTTTGTGTGGTAGCGTAATGCCTAAATGCACTTAACTGTCAACCAGAAGGCTGGCGGTTCAAAACCAGCCACTCCTTGCAAGGAAGGCTGGGCAATCTGCTTTCGTACTGATACTGCCTCCGAAACCTAAGGAGGGCTTGCTACGAGCCGAGCCGGGTCCGACTCGAGGCACGTAACAACAGTGCCTGGGGAACTCATTACTTTCAGAAGCAGGCCAAACCATTTTGGATAAGTTCATTATGAAACACTTCCTTTATAGAAATGTTTTCCTGTAGCTTGTACTCACTTGTCCTAGCTTTCCCACACTTAACCTTACAAAACAAGCCTAATCTCTCCAACGCGAGATAGTGCTTCAAATGACTGATGGATATTACTACCCTCAAAGTCTTGCCAGGCTAAAAAACGGGTGTTAACGGTTGGGTGCTCATTGAAATGACAGTATTTCTGGTTTCTTTTCCGTGAATGGGAACCAGTTTGTCTCCAGTAACTCAATGGGTAACTCCCAGGTGTGAACTTGGAGGTACTCCTCCCTCACACGGAGATTTGCCTAAGGCACTTGACTGCTAACCAGAAGGCTGGCGGTTCGATCCCACCAGCCACTCCTCGGAAGGAAGATGGGGCAATATACTGCCATAGTGATACTGCCTCGGAAACCCAAGGAGGGGTCGCTATGAGTCGGATCCGACTCGACGGCAACATAACAACAACAACAACAACACTTTTATATTCTTTATTAGAAAGTACTCCCCATTTTTAGCATACCCAAGTGTTAGAGATCTCAATAAAGGGAACAAACCATCAGATTGATCATCGGCTCTGGGCCTGGTGGAAGTGATCATAGGGCCTCCTTCTCAATTAACTGCTGTTCTTGGGCAAATCATTTCTCATTTCATAAACTGACTCCACAGGGCAAAGTACTACGGATTAGAATGAACTCGAAAGGATACCGAAGCTTTTCGATCACTAGGGAAGTAGCCCACCCCAAACAGTTCACCAGCCAAGGCAGAAATGTTCAGGAAGAGGTGAGAAACCGCGCATAACGTTAGTGTTTTTCGGATGTGCGTCTGGGCCCCGAAGTAGAAGGATATCGATCGCATTTCAGTTCTGCAAACGAAAACACAGGAGTTGTGAAAGCCATTTATGCTACACACGTAGCTCTAAATCTGGCAGATGGGGGGCGGATTGAAGTTGAAAGGTGGTTTGTGTTGACCACCTCCCTGCCAACTGCGGCTGTAAGAGAATGCGAGAAAGGATTGCCAGTTCAGGCTCTGGATTTTACCTTCACATTTCTGCTCCACAAAGTCCAAGATGGGAATGGACCAGTCCGGGCCTCGTAGGAAGCCCGCGATGCTCTCCACCACCCACTCCACCTCCTCCTCTTCTTCCGCAGCCATTCTGCTCCGAGGGGCAAGAGGCCTTGACCAGCCCCGAGCCTGCTAAGGCTCTTCCGCCGCAGGGAGCCACGAGGGAAAAGAACTGTCCCAGCAGTCGCCGGGACACTGGAATGAAAGCTAAAAGTCGGTTAACGTAAAATGGTCGCTATGGCAACTAGAGTAGCCGCCCCAGGCAGCTGCCGGGAAGCGAACACAGCTTCCCTAGAGTCTGCGCACCTCACAGAAGGGCATTTGAAGAACGTTTCCGATTGGCTGGAAAAGAACAGTAAGCGGATCAAAAGATAACCCTCCGCCCATTGGTCCGGGGTTGTTAGAGTAGAAGTGCTGCAATTGGTTGTAGATGCTGGTAGGAATCTCTGCAATCCCTCTTCAGAGAAGGGCGTCGAAGCAGAGGCTTACAGTTGTTGCCCGGTAAACTAGAAATCTGGCCTGTGACTAAAAGGGCTTTAAAGGCGCGGGCTCGCCAGGTGTTCCCAACCTCTCAGTGACTTCCATTTTCAGCCCCGTTTCCCAGAGCGTTTGTAATTAAAGGGTTGTTTGAAAATACAAACCTGGGGGGGAGGGGCCGAAAAAAAAAGTAGAAAATGGAGCAAAGTAGCTCTGTAAGATTTGCTGATTGGCTCTCCAGGCTGGTCTTCAATCTCTGATGCGTGGAGATAATTAGAACTAGGAGTTTTTCTAGGGCAATATCATAATTAATACACATTTAAAATAAATGTTGATGTAACCAAGGCTTATAGCAAATAACTGCAACTGGATACCTAGATTTGACTCCATTGTAGTATGTTTTGAATTATTTGTAATGGGATCTCTGAAGGCTTGGAGTTGCAAAAAACCTTCAAATAATCCTGTGTGTGTGAATACATATATACATACATATTTTTTTGTATTGTTAGTGTTATTTGCCCTTGAGGCGGACCTGACTCATAGCGACCCCTCCTTGGGTTTCTGAGGTGGTTATCATTATGGAAGCAGATTGCCCAACCTTTCTTCTGAGGAGTGGCCAGTGGGTTTGAACTGCCAGCCTTCTGGTTAGCAGTCAAATGCCATAGGCACTATGCCACCAGAGCTCCTATATATATACGTGTGTGTGTGTGTGTGTATGTGTGTGTATCTTTTCATATAAAAATAGCACTACTGTATCGTTTTTTTACAGCTGAGACTGGGCCATGTACTTCTGTAGAGATACCACCTGGGAGGGATTGCTATGAGTTGGATTTGTCTCAAGGCAGTGAGTTTGGGTTTTTGGTTTTCAGAATTATAAATAAGATATTTGCAATGAATAACTTCTTGGTTTTGCAAAATTCTATCATGCCATCTCCAGAGTCATTTCTATCACCAAGACCATGTTTTCCAACTGTGAGTGATTCTACTTTGTTTCCAACTTCTGTATTGCAATCACTAGTGGCATAGTGCCTGGGGTATTTGACTGCTAACCAGAAGCCTGGTGGTTCAAACCCACCAGCCATGCCTCGGAAGGAAGGTTGGGCAATCTACTTCTGTAGTGATACCATGTCAGAAGCCTAAGGAGGGGTGGCTATGAGTCAAATCTGACTCAACAGCAGTGAGTGAGTAATAATCAATACATCTTGATTGCATGTTTGGTCAATTTCAGACTGCAGAAGTTGGTAAAAATCTTCAATTTCCTAATTTTTGGCTTAAGTGGTTGATGCACCATATATTTTAATAATAGTAGTATTAATTGGTCTTCCTTATAAGCATATGGATATCATCCTATCACTGACAGCATTGTACTTCAGAGTAGATCTTGAAACATTCTTTGTGACAGTGAATGCTATCCCATTCCTCTTTGATTTGTCATTCCTCGCATGTTGTTGTTGTTGTTGTTTGCCATCAAGACGCCCCGACTCATAGCCACCCCTCCTTGGGTTTCCGAGGCAGTATAGTAGACCATAAGATTGTCTGACTCAAAATGGCCCAAACCAGTCCATTTCAGCTCACTAATCCCTACAGTTTAGATTTTTATGTGTCCCATTTTATTTTTGACAACATCCAATTTTCCTACATTCATACTTCATACATTCTATGTTCCAATTATTAATAGATGTTTACAGCTGTTTCTTTCCATTTTGAGTCATGTCCCATCAGCAAATACCTTTTTTCAACAACATAAACCATGGCTATACACGTGGACCACCAGGTGGAATACACAGGAATCAGATCAACTATATCTGTGGAAAGAGACGATAAGAAGCTCAGTATCTTCAACCAAAACAAGGCCAGGAACTGACTGTGAAACAGACCATCAATTGTTGATATGCAACTTCAAGTTGAAGCTGAAGATAATTGAAACAGCCCACAAAAGCCAAAATATGGCCTTGATTGTATCCCACCTCAATTTAGGGACCATCTGAAGAATATATTTGATGCATTGAACACCAGTGACCCAAAACTAGATGAATTGTGGGATGGCATAGAGAACATCAACCATGAAGAAAACAAAAGGTCATTAAAAAGACAGGAAAGGAAGAAAAGACCAAAATCAATGTCAGAAGAGACTCTGAAACTTGCTGTTAAACAGAGAGTAACTAAAGAAAATGGAAGAAATGACAGGGTGAAGGAACTGAACAGAAGATTTCAAAGAGCAGCTCAAGAAGACAAAGTCTGTTATCATAATGAAATGTACAAAGACCTGGAGTTAGAAAACCAAAAGAGAAGAACATGCTGGGCATTTCACAAGCTGAAAGAACTGAATAAAAAAGTCAAGCCTTGAGCTGCAATATTGAAAGATTCTATGGGTAAAATAATGAATGACGCAGGAAGCATCAAAAGAAAATGAAAAGAATACACAAAGTATATAGAGGATAGCCATAGCCCAAATAGGACTTGCTGGAAATGGGTGTGAAGTGTTGTGGTTTTTGAATTACTGAGAAGAGGCAGAGGGAAAGAAAGACATCATCATTCTGAGGCTGAAATGTTGTGACAGCAGAGGTTGGTTACTATGGCTTTTTGTTCTGTTTTCCTGTCTTCTGAACAGGCTTGAAATAGAAATCCAGTGTTGTTTTTTTTTTGTTGTTGTTGTTATTGTTCTGCCAGTCTCCTCCTTTCAAGAAGAAGCTGATTGCATGGTTTCTAATGGGACTGGAGGCTACAAAGTGCTGACTGCACTTGGCTTTACTCATCATTAGAGCCTTTATCTTCAATCTTTTGCGAATATGTTCCTGTTCCACTTGAAGGCAGATAATACTGGAATGCACAAGCTCTCCTTTCTTTATTTTCTCAGCATTCTTCCTGAATGTGAGCAATGCATATTTCTTTAGGCCTGTAAGTGTTCTCATTTATTTCAATACATTTTATTATTTCAATCTTCTCAAAACTTAAGGCTTTTCTCTACAGGTAGATACATAGGTATACAGGCTAAATGGTAAGGTATGTCTAGGCAAAAAGGAATATACCCATGACCATATATAAGTCTGACAGACAATATTTCTATGTACATATTTGTATGTGCTGTAAGAACATCCATATAAATAGAACTAACAGGGGACAAAGTTGTGATAGCTTCTTAACCACAGACAGACACCCTGAGAGACTGAGTCACTGGGCCCATGGGCTTGGGACCATGATCCCAGGGGACATCAAGCTCAATAGGCATAACATACTGTACAACTGAGGTCTTAAAAGCTTGCAGGCATTGTGGTAAACTGTGATCAATGTCATGAGACAAAGTGTATGTAAACTGCTATATGGAAAGTGAATTTGCTCTGTAAATCTTCACCCAAATCACAATTTAAAAAAAAAAAAAAAAAAGCTTGCAAGCAGCCATCTAAGATGCAACAATTCGTCTCTCCCTGTTCAGAGCAAAGAAGAAAGAAGAAAATTAAAGATGCATGGAAACAATTAGTCCAAGGCACTAGTGGACCATGTGAACTTCAGCCTACATGACCTTGAGACCAAAAGAACTAGATGGTACCTGGCTACCGCTGTCAACCACTCAGCATGAGATCAGTGCAGGAAATCATGGATAAAGTGGGAGGAAAATGTGGAACAAAATTCAAAATCATAAAAAAGACCAGGCTTACTGGTCTGATAGAGACTGGTGAAACCCCCAAGATTATCACCCTAGTCACCCTTCTGGCCTGGAATTGAACTCACTCCTATGGCTTCCAGCCAAACAATAGACAGGCATATAATGTGAACATTTACACCAGGTAGGTAAACTCCTTAAAACAATCAATCATGGGAGATCAGAAGGGCAGTATTTGTACAGGGCGATAGTTCAGAGGGCAGGAATGCATAAGGAAAGGACGTAGGGAAAAGGTAACCACAGGGAGGAAGTAGGAAGAAAGCTGTTACATTTTAGGGATTACAATCAATGTCCTGAAACAGAATGTATATGAACCATGTTATGGAAAATGAATATGCTTTGTAAACTTTCACCCAAATCACAATTTAAAAAAAACAAATACTTAAGGCTTTTCTTTTTATTCACTACTTGGGATTCTTTATAACCACGATGTTTACATACATTTAGGAAAATATGTTAAATACTTTGATCATGAAATTAACACAAACTGTAGCCACCTATGTGAATGCATGGGAGTAGAAGAAAAAGATCAGGTATGTGTGTTTTGTGTATTTCACCAAAGGTCACGTCATGCAGTCAAGTGGCATTTTTCAGGTTTCTCAGTAGTGCAAAGCATAGTCATCTGGGTAAAAGCAATGACTGAACGTAATTAGGAAGCAGTTGCACCAATAGGGCAGTAGCAGCCAGGGCTGCCACTGCCAGCCATGCTCCCAGCTGCTACAACCCAGACCTTGTGGCCAAGACCCCTACTCTGTGCATGAACACTCCCCACCTCTGCACCCAGAAATCCAGATGCTGGCTTTGCCAGATTTACACTCCTGTATCCAGTGGGCACAGCTCTCGGGTTTTGTCCAACAGGCTTCTATAAAGTTTTAGTATGATAGGGTTTACTGAGACTTAACTACAGAGTGCATGGGACTGCTTTATATAATATGTTATTTTTACAACATCCAAATTACATATTACTCTATTTCACAAATGTATTGTGGATGTTAAGCAATGCATACCTGTGTGTGTGTGTGTGTGTGTGTGTATCATCCCTCATTCACCCACATATATCTACAGTACTTTTACTACAGCATTGATAGTAAAATTGATATTATCAATCCCTAGGAAGGATTGATAATAGGATTAATTACATAG